GCTTAATCCATATCCCAAATACAAGAAAATGCCAAGAAATTCCTATTTTCCATCACTTGTGGCTTTTGCTTATGTTTATATCAGACATATAGACTGGAGAATTTTTTTATCTGTATCTAGGATGGAAAAAGCAGAGTTAAATAGAAGTGCAGCCACATGTAGTATCAAAGTAAAATTTGAGGCAAATCATCATAAATCAAGCAGTATTTTATGTAGAAGTTGTGCTTCAATTTTTTTTTTTTTCCAGAGTTAAGTAATAACCAAAACAGTGACACAAAGAATATGGCTGTAAAACACAGAGATAAATCTGCCATGTTTTACTTGGATATCACAAGGGCTTAGAAACATTTAGGGCATTTTATATACCATATGTGCTTTATTGCTTAAACTGCAGAGAATTTGTACTTCCCTGTGAGACTATTCCACTCTGTGGCAAAATGCTTGAGAATTGTCTGGGTGTTTGTACAAGGAACAGCAACAACTCATGCTGTGGTTATGGGACAGCTTCGCCACAGCATGCACAGGATGCAGAGGTTTGAATTATATTTCTATAGGACCTGTATGCAACAGACAATCTTGCTCCTGGAAATAAAATTGACTTGTAGTAGTGTATGGAGTCCATAGTTTTTCTGGAAGGGTGGAAATAAAAATGGTCAGGCACTGTCCACAAACAGAGCAGCTCATGTGAAGAGCTCTGCTTATTTGGAAGGGATTATTTAACTCTTTTATCACACTGTATGTAAATCTGGAGTGTGGTTGGTTTTTTTTGGTTTTTTTTTTTTTTTTTGTTTGTTTGTTTTTTTTTGAGCTTGGAGCAAGTAATGAGGCTGGTGCTTACCCAGTGAAACCCCACTGAACAAGTGGCACACATAAGGTACGTGCTTGGGTGTTAGAAAGGGAATTTGTTTAGAGGATGTGTAGCTTAAGAGTTCTGGAGCTGCAATGGCCTCTGGAGCTATAAGGAATGTATTTATAAATACAATAAGGCAATAAGGCATGTATTTATAAAATTAAAGAATGTATTTATAAAATTCTGCTTTTCTCTGTGTTGGGAGTGTGAGTGCTGTCTATTAAACACTGCATTTACTTGCTTTATGCTTTGCAGAAGGGAGGTGTTTCCCTGATGTTCCTCTTTAGCTGACCCCATGCTCCTCCAACATTTTAAAAGAGGACCTTTATGTTTGAGCATAAGGGTTTAAACTGGTGCCAAATTTTAGGGAAGGCCCCTGAGAGTGAGCTGTGCAGGGGCTCCAGCCGTGCACTGTGCTGGTTCAGTGCTGCTGCTGTGCAGGAGGTGACAGGAGGCTGTGCTGTCACAGCATGCTGGGGACATTGCTGATGACATGTCAGCAGCCTCAGCTCTCTGAGGACCCAGGTGCAGCTGGATTAAAAGTGCCAAAGCCAATTCCTTGAGTTGCACCTTAGAGTGGGGAGTTATTATTAGTGCTCAGTGTAGGAAGAGGTAACAATATCCCCCAGCAAGGCATGAAAACCGAGCCGTGTTTGTGCTGCAGATTTGATCTGGGATTTCTGAAGCAACAAAGGACCCAGTGATAGCTACAGCCTATGAAATCTCTCAATAATGGGATATGATTTCTCTTCTTTCCATCCTCAAGGTATTAAAATGAAGAAATTAAACTGCAACGACTGCTCATTAAATGCTGAGGGATTGTGTTAATCTGATAAATGGGAAGATTGTTTTCAGGTGGAAGAGGATGAATGTAAATGAATTGCAACTTTCGAGTTCACTGGAATTAATACACCTGAAACTGTTATTTCAGCCAGCTTTTTTTACTGGAAGTTTCAGTATTCTAAAAATGGTATTTCCTGCCTCATATCTGAACAAGGTACCACACATGCTTGTAATTTAAATGTCACAGGCCACATAACATGTGTGATCAGTGGTGTCTTGTATCATTTTCCTTTTACCCAAAGCATTTGGGTTACATTTATGTGGGTCCATGGGAGATTTTTACTTTTTGGAGGTAAAACACATCCATCCTGAAACCTGAATTTTATTTTGATTTAAAGGAAAAATGTCCCAGTTCATAGGAAGGAATTAGGAGCACAGTTTAGGACAAAATAGAAATTGAAAGCATTACTTTATTGCATTGTGCAGATGTAAAAGAATCAGAGAACAAGTGAATAAGGCAGCATAAGACTGATTTTTTTTTTTTTTTTAAATACTAGATGAGTGATGCTGTCCTTAACACACAAGAGGTTGCATTTCCTTTTATTAGCATGACATTATCCAATTAACTTGTAAAAATCTATTTGGACTTTTGCCCTCCATTCCTAGTAGTAATTTTTGGGGATCGGTGAGCAACAGTAGGGGAACCACTATCTATTCCAACACTTCTTGCATGTGTGTTTTTATTATCATCAGCATCTTTTTTTCTTTTAAAAAATTCCCATGTAACTGCAACAGCAACAAGAGGTGAAAGCTGCAGCCTCTGACAGGCACATCGAGGGTATTGTGACTGCAGAGGAAAGTGCTTTTCCCCACTTTTTTCCATCTGGGAAAGTGGTTTTCTTCATTGACACTTACTGACTGAAGTTAAATGTTTGGCAGGTGGAGTTCAAACATCGTTTTGTTTTGTAATGGGAAAAAAACCCCCGCCAAATAATCTGCAACATCACATTTAAAAAAAGGGGGGGGGGTAATCCCAAACATCTGGGAATAATAAAGGACACTGAAAAATTCCATTTATAACAAGAAAGGGAAACAGTCTGCAAATGTGTTCTTTACCGTAAACACTGATTTTATTATTTCTTTTCCATTGCTGCATCTCAGTGTTGTGTGATTTGCCCCTTGAGCATGGCTGTGGTCACACTGGAGAGTTGTGGCAGCATCCCCAGAGCCCCTCTGCAGAGAAAGGCTTTTCTCACATCCACAGCATGGGTTTTTTTCTCTCTCTGGCCATCCCTTATCTCATAAATACCAGAGGAGTTTTTAACGGCAGCCTTTGAGGCTGTTTCCTTATGTTCTCTTGTCTACCAGGCTGCCCCAGTGTCCCAGCTGTTCCAGGAAAAAGCCACACCCAGAATCAGCATCACATTAGCTGCTCTTAACAAATGAGGCTTTGAAAAAAGGGCTGAAAAACTTTGAAACTTCAGCTGTATAAATAATTTATGCTGAAAGAGCCATGGTGGCAACCAGAGGGAGAGGAGGAGAAGGGTGTGATATGGGAGGAAAAAATGATGACCAAGCCAGAGACCAAATAGCTGTGATTTTTCTTTCCATTGCTGCACTTTATGATGAAGTGATTGTGTGGGTGAAGGATACACTGGTAGTTGTGTGTGTCTGAGCTATGATAGTAATTTGTACTTGTTTGCTCCTTTTCTCTCTCTCTTTCTGTAAGTGGTGATTAGAGTGCTTATAAAATAACTGGCATAGTGCAAATATTTTTTCTGAACAAAGAGGTTGAGAGTTCAAAAACTAATGAAGGACCAGAGTCCCCCTCTGTTGAGAGCTCTCTGTTGCTCAGCCTCAGAGTAAGCAGACTGTGCCACAGTTTATGGCACTTTCTTACTGGCTACAAACTGCCCCAGAAATAATGGAGTAATGATAAAAATAAAGACTTGTAGCACAAGTTTCACTTGGCTGAACTGTAGCTTGTCTAGAAGTGAACTGTTCTCTACATGTTACAGATAAGGAATGGCTTTTATGGTTATGTGATTCTGTAGTGCTGTGCAATTAAACAGCCTGACTGTGGCTGTCTGTGCATGAAGGGCAATAGCTCTAAGTCATCATTAGCTGACATTAATTAACAGAGTAATGTACATGCAGGTGGTTTTTGTCTGTGTGAACTCCGCCTTCCTTGTGCTTTCAGGCAAACATGGATGCGTTCTGACAGAACAAGAGTAACTTTCTATCAAATGAGCGATGTTTTTATGTGCCCCCCTGGTGTTTCATTGTACTCCATTCCTCCTCAGGCACTGGCAATTTTTTGCTTGCTCCCTCATCAAGCAGGAGCAGTGGGGAGGAAGAACTTTGGGGACAACATGCCCTGCATAAGGATGCAACAAGCATTTAAATTTCAGCGCACAATTTAGAACCACGAAGGCAAGATTAATGATTTACTGGTTGCAGTCCTGCTCAGAGGACATCCAGCTGAGCCCTTTACCAAAGACACTTTGTTTGATGAAGCACAGTTTATTAATTGGTTTAAAGACCTGTCCTTTTTCCAGGCCACCAGCCAATTCAGTGCTTGGCCGATGTGAGTGCTGTTACTTGGCCTTGACTTGTGTTTCATCAGCGTTTTGTCTGCGGTGGAGGCTTGCAGTCTACTCCTCAGCAGGAATGTACTGCTCATCCTTAGGGCTAATTCCTTGTTTAAAAGTTTAATGCTTTCCCATTGCTTTCTTATAACATGTCCAGTCTCCAAGAGCGCAAGCCTGGGCTGAAGGAACTGATGTAAAGGGATTCCTGCCCAGGTCTGGCAGGCATCCAGGTTTTTGCCCTGATGACAGCAGGATGTGTACCTTTGCCATCAGCACCGAGTTGCTACAGCTTTTCATCGAAAAAACAATCCCTTCTCTCCCTCCTGATTCTATTTTTGGAAACAGCTACAGCATTCTTAGTAAAATGCTGGGGTTTTTTGATGGGGGAAGGAGGGGAAACCTTACCTGGAGCGATGCCCAGTATGGAAAAATCTCTGTCCATATTCCAAATGATGCATAAGCTGAATAGTATTATGTTGTATATAATGAAACTGAAAGTATTATTCAGGCAGTCCTGTACTGCTGTGGGGCATTCTGCTCTCTCTGATTGAGAGGCTCTGTACATCAGATGCTCTGAACAGCTCGTAGAGCTTAGAACTCCCTTCAATCCCCAGCCTGGGAGAGCAGTGGGGATTCACGGGCAGTGTATCAGTTTCTACACTGCTATCTCAGATTATACATGTAAACCAAAATACACTGGATTTGTGACCTGCTTGCAAATTTGAGCTTTGTGCGATTTGAGTTTGATTTGAATCATGTTTGTTGTTTCTTCATAGATGGCTTGCGGGTGATGTGTTGTACAAGTGCCTCAAGTTTCTCCTACAAGATGTGTTCCCCAAATCCAGCAAACTGGGTCACCTTTGATGATGAGCCTCTCTTCCAGTCACCTCAGAAACCTGACAATCAGAGCAGCTGCAAACCAAATGGCCTTAAGCTCAACCTGTCCAGTGTTCATGAGTCTTCAAGTAGATCATCCTCTACAGGCAGCACTCCGCTCTCATCTCCTGTAGTTGATTTCTACCTAAGTCCTGGACCCCCCAGCAACTCTCCACTTACTACACCTACCAGAGACTACCCGGGAAACCCCTGCATTCCAAAGTCTGGGATTCACATGCTTTACCCCATCCCTGAATGGCCATCAAATGTTAACCCTTCTCCATCCCCTGGGATTTGCTCATCCCTAGCCTCGCAGAAACCAAGCAGCCTTCCTTTGAACCCCTCACCTAATGACCATCCAGGTAAGACTTTGGTCTCCAAATCAGCAGATGAAGGAAGCCCTAACCCACCAGGAAGCTGCGAGGAGCTGGCTCCAGGACAATTCCCGTACTTCCACAGTGACTGTGCTTTTTCCAGTCCTTTTTGGAAGGAAGGGTGCTCCCTCAGCATGTCGCCAGCTAATGTTAGCATGCACAGGAAGGACAAAGGGCTTGACAGGAATGGGTGTCATCCTAGAGAAAAAGAAACATGTCATGATCAGAAAAGCCTTAACCAGGGCTCCTTCAGTTACATCTGTGAGAGGCTTGAACACCTACAAGCTGACAGCTGTGAGGCCATGGAAAACCCACCCACCTCCAGCACCCACGCATGGCACAGACTCTCCCCCACCATCCCACACAGCCTTTTCAGGAGCCAGAAATCAGATGGGTGGCCATTCATGCTGAGGATTCCTGAGAAGAAGAACATGATGTCATCCCGGCAGTGGGGCCCCATTTACCTGAGTGTCCTGGCTGGAGGGGTGTTGCAGATGTATTATGAAAAGGGCCTGGAGAAACCTTTCAAGGAATTCCAGCTGCAGCCGCAGTGCAAGCTGTCCGAACCCAAACTGGAGAGCTACAATGTCTCAGGAAAAATCCACACTGTGAAGATCGAGTGCGTGTCTTACACAGAGAAGAGGAGGTACCACCCCAAAGTAGAGGTGATCCATGAGCCAGAGGTGGAGCAGATGTTGAAGCTGGGCACCACCGATTATAATGACTTCACCGATTTCCTTGTGACAGTTGAGGAGGAGCTCATGAAACTTCCTACTGTTTCCAGACAAAAGAGGAATTATGAAGAGCAAGAAATGACTCTGGAAATAGTGGATAACTTTTTGGGGAAAGTCACTAAGGCAGAAGGAAAACTTGTAGAAAGCGCGGTCATCACACACGTTTACTGCCTGTGTTTTGTGAACGGTGGTGCCGAGTGTTTTCTAACCTTGAACGACCTGGAGCTCCAGAAGAGGGATGAGCGTTACTTTGAGAAGGAGCAGGAGAAGAAGTGGATCGATATTCTCGACTGCCATTTCCATAACTGTGTCAAAGCACAGGAATTTGAGGAGTCACGGATTATTAAGTTTACACCCCCGGACGGCTGCAGGCTGGAACTGATGCGTTTCAGGACGCACTACAGTGGGCAAGACCTTCCCTTTTCTGTGAAGGCTGCAGTGGTGGTTCAGGGGGCATACATTGAACTTCAGGCTTTCATAAACATGTCCTCAGCTGCTCAGATCCTGACACGTTTACCCTCTGTGAAATACTGTGAAAATGTTATGATACGCTTTCCTGTTCCCACACAGTGGATCAAAGCACTTTGGACCATGAACCTCCAAAGGCAGAAGTCCCTAAAAGCGAAAATGAATAGGAGAGCATGCCTTGGGGCTTTGCATGAGGTTGAATCTGATCCTGTAATCCAAGTCTCGGTTGGAACAGCAAAATATGAGAGTGCCTACAGGGCTGTGGTGTGGAAGATTGACAGGCTTCCAGATAAAAATTCAAGTAAATATTTTGTGCTAGGGGCTTGGGTGTGCGTCTTCACTGGGTTTATGCTTGTGTACCTCCATCAGCTGTTGTGGTTTGGGTTTTTATCTGTGGGATGCTGTTGGCAGAAGCCAGAATAATCTTTTAGGAAAAATAGAATACAGACTTACCAAGTTCTTGAAGGAGGCAAATGTACTGTCAGTCATTTCAAGTATGTGGTATCATGGAAGCAGAGCTGATCATTCTGAGTAAACCTCAAGTCTGTAGCAGCAAGGCTGAGGGAAAGGTTTATGCTTCCCTTGTACCAGCTGGGCAATGGGTGGGATGGGAAGCAGAAGTTGGTAAAATGATTTGTTCACCCAGTATCACATAGCTAATTGAAAAGGTGGTATTGTCACCACTGGGTCTTGGCTTTCTAGCATCATTGAGGAAATGGTAGGTATGATACAGAACTATAAGGTGCTGTGGTTAAATCTGCTGTAGGAAGTGCTGTACTCTTGCAAAGGCTGGTTTCTATTTCCTCTTTCATGGGTTTGTGCATTGATATCGTACATTCATGGCAATAACTGCACTGACAAAAAATGCCTCCGACTTTATTCCCATTTCTCTCTGGTGGTTTCTCACTGAAAACTGGTAGCCGTACAAACAGCTACATTTTTAATTGCACACATGGAAATAGTTAATTTACTTTAATTTAAAGGAGAAAACATGACTTTTGGAAGAAGAAAAATAGAAATACTTGGGTTTAAAATTCCAATTTTTAGTCGTATTACCAGTACCCTTCTAAAGACATAGTACTTTTCTAAGGACATAAAAATTCTTGAGGAATACAGTGTCATGCTTCGAGTTCTGTAGAGTGAAGGCATTTGATCCTTTGCATTATGTGTACCTGAGGCTTTGGGGATCTGTGTAAGACAAGGGCACCTGTTAAAGCATTTAATGTAAAATCTGTACTTTTGAAAAAGGGGGTAACTGTATGTTACTAACATATGGATTGTCCTAGTCTTGTATTATCCTGTCTGGGCTAACTGCCTCTTTAAAATGTCCAGAAAAGATTTTACCTTCTTAAGTCCCAGTTTCAGGCATTCTACTACTAAGCCAGGACTAATGGTGGGGGAAGAGCAATGACAGCGAGAGGGAAGTGAAGGGCATGGGTGGAGAGACTGGAAAATGGACAGGGAGGGCAGACGAGTGCTGAAGAGATGTAGAATGAGAAGGCAGAAGAAGATTCTTCAGGACTTCAAAATCCCTGTGCTGTGCTCCAAGTTTCAGAGATTTGCACCATGTTGCTATGACCCGCGTGTTTTCCCAAGGCTTACAGGACTGTTTGGATAGCTTTTAGTATTCTTTGCTATTTAATGTAGGTTTGTTTCTGTAAAATCAAGTCAGCAGGGTAGGCAATTTTAAAGAAGATTATAAGTCTTCCAAATTTCTTACAGTTCTTTCACCTGAAGATTTGATGTGCAAAATTAACTTCAGATTTAAGTTATTTAAAGGGAAGAACTGGGTTTTTTTTGAGGCATTCCACAGCTTTAAATTAGTTTCTAGCAGTAGCTTAAACTTCTGACATTTGAATAATTCCTCTAGCTGAGATCTGCAGAATCATTTGTCTCTGTGAAATGTTCATGTGTTTGAAAAAACATTTTGGTAGCAATACTGCCCAGTCAAATTTTAAACCTCTGTATCAAGTGCTCTGTACACAGTTAAGAGTTTAAAAATAGAATTGTCCCAAGGCGTGCCAAAAGTCTGGAGACAGTCAAACTAATAGAAATATGTAAACTTTCATAATGTGTTTACCGCAGGCGGAAAAATATGCTGAGGATTTTGCTTTTAAAAAGCCTTTGTCCAAGGCTTCTTAAAGTAAAAAAAAAAAAAAAAAAAAAAAAAAAAAAAAAAAAAAAAAAGGAAGGGAGAAGGATAGATTGCTTACAGTTATATTGTGGCTCCATTTATAGACATTGAAATATGTTAATATCCACTGGATTCTACTGAAGCGTTTTCTTGGAAAAGTGCCAGCCAAGTGAAGTCAGTAGGAGCTGCAAGAAACACCAGACTTTTAAAAGCTGCCTATGCCTATCCAGATATATAGATATTGTATTTGGAGTCAGAATTTTGGCATTATTTTTAAAAAGAGTAAAGAAAGGAAAAACGTTTTGAGGGGCTGATCCAGTGAAATTTCTGCAAATTGAGTCTTATGTTTGTGAAATTGTGTAAGGAAATGCAGAACACGTAATGATTTTAGCACAGTACTGGGGCCAGACTTTGCAGTGGAGAAGCTGTGTCAGCTGCTTCCCAGGGAGTTCCCAGGGAGCAAGGGAGAGACTAAATTGCAAAGCACTGTGCTTTAATCACTTGCTGTGTAAATTTGAGCTCTGTGATTTTTCCTGCTAGGACACCTCCTTCCTTGAGCCGTTGTGTAAAGCAGCAGTTCTTCAGCTGATTTCATTCTGCATCAGGGGGCCACTGAGGAAGCAGGGACTAAACAAGACAGCAAATTGGAGCTTGAGGAGGTTGTGGCTGCTGGCAGCCTTGTTACTGCCTTTAGCATCTGTGCATGGACTCTGCTGTGGGAGGTGATGTGGTTCCCAGGAACCACCAGGTGCTGCTTTTCTTATTTTCTAAACTGCCCAGGTGGAAACTCAAAGCCATGGCTTTGTCAGGTGGGCTCCATCCCTGCCCAGCCACCTCCTTCTGGCACTGGCACCACAGTGAGCTGGTGCTTGGTGGTGGTACTGTCCCACTCCTCTATTCCCTATGCACTTCTCCCAGCAGGTTGGATAAATGTACCCATTTAGACATAGCTGCAGGAGTTATTAACTTCTAACAACCCTAATGTATGTAAATCTGTTCTTAGTAATTGTTTGTTTTCACGTTCAAAGTAAAAGTTTTAGAACTGGACCTATTTTGGCAAAAATAGAACTATTAAATAACTAAGATAATCAGTAAATTATTTTGGCTTATATTGCTTTGCTTCATGAGCCTTTCTCAGATCAAGGTTGCTTGAATGCTACTTATACAGGTGAAAAAGGGCCAAATTGTGTTAATAAGTGCAAAGTTGGATTATTAATTACTTATGAAATGCTATATGAATTCTAAATTATATTTGTAATCTAGTTTCATAGTTTTACTGATCTTTTGTTTGTTTGTTTTGGCTTTTTTATTGGTATTCTTTGTAGACAGAGAGCAAGGTTTGGAATACTTCTAGGAATCTAGAGCTAGATTTTCAGATTAGGGCAGACTAAAATCTCTCAATTCACAGAAGTCTTAACAAGCTGCATAGACACCTAAACTGCAGGGTTTCTGTCTCATAAATTAGATAGTAAAAGCTCAGTAATCTCCCCAGATTCTTCTGGTTGCCTCTCAGGAGTGGTTTGATTTCATCAGTCCAGGTGGTCATGCGTCGACAGTGCCTGCTGGGCCACATTTTGGATAGCTGGGCTTGAATATGTCAGGGCTCTGTATATGTCACCTTAGCACCCTGTGGCTGTTCCAGCACACCTGTCTTTCCACAGCACCACCTTTTCTCTCCTGGCCAACACCTGGCTTTTTCAGCATTACAGTTTCTTTTGCAAAAGGATCTTCTACACACAGCCTCTCTTTCTTCTTCTAACTCCAGTGTAACACAAGGCCCAGGAAGCAGTGGTTTCATGAGATGAAAAGAACTTCTCAGTTTTAGGTGAAAACTAGGGGGATGTCCAGAGTCTTCCAAAATGCTGGTCAGTCACTTTGTCATCTGACAGCTGATGGGAAGAAGTGCTCTACTCTTCTAGCACAGCCCAGCAGTGGCAGAAGAACTTCTCCACAAGTGAAGGGGTGAGTACTTCCCTCTGACATTGGTGTTGGTACAAGAGACAGATGGGCTGGGGGAACCCTGCATTTTAGGAATAGGTGAAAAGGTCCAATGGAATCTGCTCCAGAGGACCCAAGGCAGTATCCTTATCCAAATCCCAAACCTGTTGTCTCTGCTTTTGCAGGTTACCACCTAAGGAAAAGGAAGCATCCCAGAATTCACTGCATCCCAGCACCAAGACCACTTCATGGCTGTAGGTCAGCTGGAATATAAACCCAGAGGTTTCTTAGGATTGTCCTGGATCACAATTATTCCATGTCCAGCAGGGAAACCTTCAGCAACAGCCCAAGGGGTATGGCTCATGTGTGCCTGGACTCAAGTGGACATCTGTTATCCAACATTTACAATCCAATATGTGCCCAGGAAAATTCCAAGCAGTGATTATTTCTGGATTCTATTTCTCAGAAGACAGAATAATTTGCTAGACAATTCTAGATGATTAGACAATTGCTATTTGTTTCTTCATAAGCCTCTCCCCCAAAACACCTCAAGAAGATTCTGAATTTGATCTCCAAAAGCCCTTAGATGTATGCTAGTTGTCTTCTACCACAAATTAACTAAAGCAGCAAACCCTTTTTCCTCAGATCATTGATTAACCACAGCCCCAGAGGGCTTGGCCTTCTCCCTAGCCAAGACATGCCAAGCAATCTTGGTGCTGCAATTCCTGCTGTCCTGCCCAGGATGCTTCACTTGTGGCTGGCACTGTGCAGTCTGTGAGGCCCAACCCAGCAAACAGCACAAAGAGCAGGTCAAGTAAGTGTGGTGCCAGGCTGCATCCTGGCACCACCATGGGAAAGGGGAGCAGGTCCTGGGAGCCAAAAGGAGCACAGTTCAGATGGGATGACATCTTGCAGTGTGGCTCTGGAACAGGGTGTTCCTCATGGTGTCCTGTTGCTGGGATGATAGAGGAGTCAAGGATGGAGAGCCCACATCAACAGAGGCTCATTCCACCATGCCCAGGCAGTCTGGAAGAGGGACTGTGGACCAAGAGAGCATTAGTGCAGCAGAAATGACCCTGGACACAGCAAGAGGTGACCAGCAGCAGATCATGGACAAGGCTCACATCATGGAGGTACAGAGATCTGCCTGTCCCTGGGTACATGAGTGATGAAACACTATCTCCTCCTCACGCTTGTTCTGTGTTCCAGTTTCATTCTCAAGACATTGGTGGCTGTAATCCTTATTTCTGACTTTGTTCCCTCTCTATTTCCATAATAAAGTATCTGATGTTACAGTTTTACTTGTCTCTGTGTTTTGTGTTATTGTCCTGAGACTTCAGGCACATGTCGCATGCCTCTGGCATGGCACTCCTGGCAAACTGGGGATCTTTGTGCTTCAGTGCCTTGCAGGATCCTCTCCTGAGGTGTGCCCAGAGGTCTGTGTAATGTTACAGGGAAAACCTGCACCACAGACAGGCACCCAGCCCAAGGCTCCTAGGAGCAATGGAGATGCAGCTTTTGTATTTATTATTACCTTACACTATTTTTCCCTGTGAGCCTGTGGATGTGGAATATTAGCATGATTTTTCCCATGGGATGAATAAAGCTCAGTTAATGTTAACTCCATCTTCAGTATTTCCTTCATTCTGATAAGGAATCGATTCCTGTCACTGGAGGAAGTCAGTGCATAAAGAATGGGACATTTTTTCCTGAACTTCGAGATTCCATTCAGTGTAATGGATGAAAACCAAATATACACTGCCAGGCTTGCCTTTGACAAAATACAGTCAATCCTTTCTTTTCTTCTTTGTAATGTTTTTTCCCTGCCTGCAGCCAAAGCATAGTTAGTTGTCTATGTTGATGATTAAAATCCTGGAGAGAAGAAGAAATGCAGAATTGCTATGTTTTGCCCTGAAGAATTTGAAGAGGATTCTTTTCATTATATTAAATTGTATTATCCTGCTTTCATACACAGTCAGTCTGCTGACTCCAGTTGCTTTGGGAAGCAGGTTTTCACCTTGTGCTCCTGTGTGCCAAGAGAAGTGCTTGCCCTTATCATTGCCACGTGTAAGAAATGCTGAAGCAAGTGATCCTTAGGATCATCCCTAGGATGATTAAAGTAACTCAGAATATGCTGCACAAATCCTTAACGACTCTGCTTTATAACACCACAGTAATTTTAATAGTACTTTTTTTTTTTTTTTTTTTTTTAAGAAATGGAGTATGTTCTTTTCCAAACTAGACAGGGACTCCAGGTAGCCTTTATCCTGGCAGGTGGGATGTATCTTGTTTGAACAGCACTCTGAGCTGCACCTTTATCTTCCTGCTGTGGACATAGTGTAATAAATGATGGTACACTAGATAGCTGTAGTACTTGAAATAAGCACTGCAGTAAAATTTCTACAGCACAGAGCTCTGGAAAGGGGGTTATTTGACACAGGGAAGCATCTCTGCCTTGGCTACATTGGGACCTTCCAGTTTTTAATAATTTGGATTTAGCAACAAAGCCCTACATTTGTAATAGTCCCTCAATGAGAAGTTGCAAGGATCTGGTAAATCTTGTGTAAATTAATTTGTAAAATTGCAATGACTATGACAAGTGTGCTGAAGCAGACAGAAAATTAACAAGGGGCCACCTTATGCCCAAATAGCAAAAGATTATAGATAGAATAACCTTGTATCAAACAACAGCTCTGTGTTTATAAAAGGTAAAGCTGTGCTCTCTTGCTAGGAGATGAACCTAAACAAAGAAAAAATAATTTTCTAATGATGTGGTGGTTTTCTTTTTCTTTCCCAAGGTTTGGATCATCCACACAGCCTCTCTTACAAACTGGAACTGGGATCAGACCAGGAGATACCATCTGACTGGTACCCATTTGCTACTGTCCAGTTTGTTGTTCATGATACATGTGCCTCGGGAACAGAAGTGAAGTCCCTGGGCATAGAGAGTGATCTGCAGCCCCAGAAACATGTGGTTCAGAAAGCTTTTTACAATTACCAGGTATTCTTAGGTCTATGCTTTCCATGTTTTTCCTCCTTTTGTCCCTCCCTGCTCCCCCATACAGTATTTGAAAAGCAAATATGCTTTGTATTTGAAACATACCTTGTGCGCACTTTTTATAATGACTTTGAGCAAAGAATCATTAAGTAATAATTCCTTGTCTGATCAAAGATGAGATTGAAAAACAGAAATATGAATGCAGATTTTTATTTTTTTCCTCATTTGAGCTGTTTTTGGGAGTAGTGGTTTTGAAATCTGTTGGGTCTGGAAATATTTTGATTTTGTGTCAAAGCTTTTTTCCATGCGGTTGCTGCAGTTCACACTTTCTGTGTCCAATTATTTGCTAATTCTACCTGTTGTATTTTGTTTTCTACCTCCAGGTTGAAATTGAAAAGAAGTGGATTAGGCTTGATGGAGAAGACCCAGCTAAGGCTGGCAACTGCCTAATGCAATGAAAGAGGACAGGAGGCACCACTATAGGATATTAGTAGGACTCAATTTACATAGGAAATTCTATTGTTAGAAGAAGTGCAGTGACCTAGTTTAGCGTAAACACAGTCATTGAATTTTTTTTTTTAGTGCTTATGGGTTTGAGTCTGCAAATCAGTACTCATTTGACTGGCCTGCATTCAAGTAAACTTCCTGTCATGGGAGTCCTGGTATGAGTAAGGTCTCCATGCTAGAGCAGCAGGATGTGAACACTTCACTGACTGATTCTAATGTATTATTTTCCTGTTGTGTATCTGGAAAATTATTTTCCTATTGTGACTAGGGAATGATCTCATACTCCCTATTGAAACCTAATGGCACTACTCAAAGGGTTCATGTCACTTGGACATGTAATATTTGGTAATGAAACTTCCAGAGTGCTTATGATCTATCAGCACCTGTGTAAGGTCCAGAAGGACCAATTACATTTTTTAGTGCTGTTTGAAAACTAAAGTCCCTCATGTTTTTTCACCCCTTGATGTATGTGAGTAGAACAAGTCCAAATAATATTCTCAACAAGAGCCTTAATTAATGAGTTGGAAATTGGGTTATTTCATTGGGAAAAAGGGTCCTCTGCAATAATACTCTAAATTCTTCTGTGGCTGCAACTGTTCCCTTCTCAGCACTTTTTAGGTTCACTCAAAGAAATCTCTTGGGCAAAAAAACCCCATATGGCAGATGTGATTGAAGTTTCTGTGCCAGCATTAGACAGCTCCTTTTCACTACTGCAGCAAGAGATAAGAGGGGGATTCTCAGTGAGTGTAAATCAGTCCAGGCCCATTTCATCTGCTGAGGCTTGGAGAATTTACACCAGAGGAGGTCTCCCCCCACAAGCTGGAGAAAAGACTGTTTGCTGCCATTTGCTCTGTGTCTCCTTTAGGATGCAAGTTCCAGATGTTGGTATGGAAACTACAGGAGCTGTGGCTTTGAGTAACATTTAAGACATGCATGGAAAGGGAGATGTTTTCATGCTCCTGGCTTTAAAGGCGTTTTTCCATGGGGAAATAATGCAGGAATGGACTGTCACAAGAGACCTGAAGCTGTGATGCTTCATCAGGCAGCCTGAGCTACTAATCGCTAATGTCAATGTGTTAATTGTGTTTTCAAGAAACAATTGGCCTTTAGGGAAAGCTTCTAATACTTCCCTTCAACCATTATTCACTTTGCCATTTTCTGCAGGCTGTAATTTCAGGTCTAGAACATTATGATAAATTTAAAAAATGCTCATGATACCCTTTTTTTTTTTTTTTTTTGGCTGCAATTTTCTTAAAATTAGCCCTACTTCAAATAAAAATTAGTAGAGAACAAAAATATAGCAATGCACTGCCTCACTTTATATTTTGTACAGCTCGTAACTGTTTATATGAACACTGTGTAAAAATACACATAAATGGTATTCCCCAAAAGTAGAAATATGTGGGATATACACAGAGAAAATTACCAGTCTGAGGAAACAGAAGACCATAATATGAACCTAGTTCATCACAATAAACTTTTTCCCCCATCCAGAAGCTGAGAATGAAATGGGTAATAGATTCTATAGTAAGTCCTGAGGGCAGGTTTTTTATGGGTATTGCATTGCCAAAGCCCCAAATAGACTATTATGGTATTTGGTCTTCTCTATATATCCCTTTTTATTAGCAGATTATATTGTTATAAATCTAAGCAAGCATTGGACTATAGTAGTGATCCAAATATGTCTCAGCTGTTGCCTCCTCTGTCTGTGTTTTCACTTGAGAAGCCATTAGCACCTTCAAGTCTTGTTTTGTGTGTTTCATTAATATTTAATTTTGTTTTATAGTCTGCTCAGCTGAACTAAGGGGCACAGCGCTGCCACCAGGGCAAAGTGTTTATACTTGGCAACATGGCAAGCTCTGCAGTCTGCTGAAGTCCATGGTTGTACTACAGCTACAATATTTATTAACCTCTTTGCTCAGTGAGGTAGAGGAAGCAAAATATGCATTGCAATTACCTGTAGTTACCTTTGTCTGAGGCTGACTTGTTTTGATTTGCATTAAACAGCTAATTCAGCAAGCCTGTTAACAGTGGTTGCTCTCCGTCTCTCCCAGCTGGCCCCTATTTTTCTGTTTTTAAGAACAAGGAACCTGAATATCTCCATTCCATCTCTCTTTCATCTTAGGATCTCCATTCACAGCACTCACCTCCTGGGCATTGGGTACCTGGTGGTATTACAGTCCTGCAGGAGCTGTGGCTGCTGTTGTGCTCTCAGGTGTCTGCTGTGTCTCAGGATGTGTTTAAGGAGCCTGTATAGTGTTGACCCTTCAAGTTACAAGCTACTGTTTGCAGTGAGTGGCTTAAATAATGAATGACCACCTTACAAGTCACCATTCCTGCTAGAGAGTTGTATTAAGGTGTTATGGTGCAAATGACCATTCAGACTTACTGAACTCAATAACATAGAAAGGTAAAGCTACAGCTTTATCTGTGTTGCAAACCCTTAGATTTTCATTTGAGGCTTGCAAGATTCATGATTAACTTTAATCAGAATTGGATCAGGATAACTCCACAGAAATACTGCTATACTGAAAGAAAGTTACTCTGTTTAATACATGGCTTTCAGTTTAAACTTAACAATTATTGCAGCCTAAGATTGAATAATTTTCCTGTTCAGTCTCACACTGATGTTTATATGTCTTGATGTCAGAATATTTAAAAATAGGCTGCAGTTTAATGAAGGAAAATTTGGGTTGTCTGACTTTTTCCCCACCATCAAATTCTAATTTCCTATTATATTGCAACATGCCAAACCAGAAATAACCAGGTTTCTCCTTTCTTCTGTGTTGTCTT